GGCACCAGTGGCGGCCTCGGTACAGACAGCATACCGCTCGTGCCCAGGGAACGTAGTGGTGACGCCAAGGTCCTGGAGGCAGCCGACACCAACTAGGTTCCTGGAGAACGAGGGGATATGCAGACCTGTGAGCGAACCCGAAGGAACCGCCGGACAGGGAAGGGAGGTGGAACTGCGGGCTACGACCGGACCACCGGAGGGGTCAGCAAGAGAAACGGCAGCAGGAACAGGAAGCGACGTCAGCGTAGTGGAGTCGCGGAAGAAACACCGGGAAGTGCCAGAGTCCAAGGTGAAGGAAAGTGCAGCAGTGGCGCCTGGCGGCGGAGAAGCGGTGGAAGCACCGAGGCTACACAAAGCAGGAGATCCTACGCCTGACGTAGCAGGGGAGTCTACGCTAGGCACACCGACACTAGGCAACACGGGGTAATAAGAAGGAAGCACACTAGAGTCATCAGCATACATCACATGCAGGGCGGCTACAATGGCATCCATGTCCAAGTCAAAAAGCTGAATACTACGCCTAAGCAAGCTGTGCCAGTCCGGGAGGTCGGGCGACGGGCCAAAGCGCTGACGGAACAGGTCGTCCAGGCGACGAAAACAGCGAGGAGTGGAATGACCGATCTTACCGCAAACGAAGCCGCGGCGCGGACCGGTCTGGATCTGGTACTGACAGCGCACGCCTCTGGAACCACCACCCGGCGCACCACCACGCGCACGGCCACTACCAGCTCCAGGCCACCCGGGCGGGAGGGCACTCGCATGCCTCGTCGGCGGCGGCTGCTGTGGCTGCTGCGGAGGCTGCGGCTGCGGCGACTGCTGCTGCTGCTGCGGCTGCTGAGGCAGTGGGTCAGCCGGACTGGGCAGCGTCCCCTCGTCCGCTCCAGCACCAGACGACCCGACTCCACCACCACCCCCTCCTGCACCCCCGCCTCCCCCGCCGCGCCCAGCCTTGGGGCGGCGACCCTTCCCCGAGCGAAACTGCGCGGCTGCAGCAGTCTCAGCCACAGCGACAGAGCCGTCGGTGAAGGTACACTGAGCGGGTGCACAACCCTGAAAGATAGGGACCGGTACCGTACCGCTCGCCTGGGCGATGGAGCGGTGGCGAGTCTCGATAACAGTCAGGGTGTCTACGAAGTCGGTGAGGGTGAGCTCAGCGGGGTGAATGCTAAGGAACTGGTCGCGGGCGGCGGCAAGGCGGTCAGGGAGGCGGGTGGCAAGCAGGTAGAGGGTAGAGGTCATGGGCGGCTGGTGGGCTCTAAGCTGTGCATCAGTGCAGGCAGCGCGCCAGGTCTCATCTATCGAGCGCAGGTGGGCAGCTAGGTCAGAGACAGTGGGGAAAGACGCAAGGTCAGGAAAGAGCATCGGGAGGATCAGGCGACCCACGGAGGCAACAGGGGGGGCAGAATAGCGCTTGATGACAGCATCTAAGTAGGCCTGGGCGGTAGTGATGGACCTAAAGCGAGGGCGCTCGGACGGGGGAAGGGCATTGCTAATGGCGAGCTGAGCAACAGCGTCTCGGGAAAGCCAGACAGAGCATGCTAGGGCAGCGGCGGCAGTGGACTCGCGCTCAGCGGGTGTGGGGTCGGCGGGCAGCACAGCAGGGGGGTCTGGGCAGGGGAGCGTACCATCAAGGTGTGCGGAAAGCGGGTGGCCATCCTGCCGCTGGCCGGTGACGTGGCGGCGGAGGTCGGCAAGCCACGCCTCGAACTCCAGTGGCTGACCTTCAGCATCGAAGCGATGCTCCGCCGCCATCAGAAGCAGGGAAGGACTACATGGGCCGGGCAGGGCGCGACGGGGCTAGGCAGGGCGCGACAGGGCCAGGCGGGCGCGACAGGGCCGGGCGAGCACGACGGGGCCGGGCAGGCGCGACGGGGGCCGGGCAGGCGCGACGGGGCCAGGCAGGCGCGACGGGGCCGGGCAGGCGCGACGGGGGGGGCGGGCAGGCGCGACGGGGCCGGGCAGGTGCGACGGGGCCGGGGCGAGCGCGACGGGGCTAAGGGAGGGACGGGGCCCAGGAGGGGCGCGACCGGGCAGGGAGGTGCGACAGGGCCCAGGAAGGGGCGTCTGGGCTAGGAGGCGCGACGGGGCCCAGGAGGGGCGCGAACGGGCGAGGAGGCGCGCTAGGGGCCCAGGAGGGGCGCGACTGGGCTTGGAGGCGCTTTAGGGGCCCAGGAGGGGCGCGACTGGAGTAGGAGGCACGCTAGGGCCCAGGAGGGGCGCGACGGGGCTAGGAGGCGCGACGGGGCCCAGGAGGGGCGCGACTGGGCTCTGAGGCGCGATAGGGCCCAGGAGGGGCGTGGCTGGGCGAGGAGGGGCGACGGGGCCCAGGAGGGGCGCGGCTGGGCTAGGAGGAGCGACTGGGCCCAGAAGGGGCGCGTCTGAGCTAGGAGGCACGGTAGGGCCCAGGGAGGCGTGACTGGGCTACGAGAGACAAAGGGCCCAGGAGGGTCGCGGCGGGGCCTAGCGAGGGTAGGAGCGGAAGCGATAAGTGGGGGGGGGGAGGGGGGGGGGGTCGAAACCTACGCGTGATACCATATCAGAGTAGAAGTATGATTAAAAGAGAGAGAACATGTGAATATACCTAAGAGTTGTACCCTATATAAGACATGACTCTATTCAGTCTATGCAAACATAGTAGATATACATATTTGATAGTTTGTACCCTTTATAGAAAGATTCAGTAACAACCTACCAAGCCTATATTAAATTATAACGGTCAAACATGTGTATATGTCATGTTTGTATAGACTGTATAGGGTCGCCTCTTAGAGAGTACAACACGTAGGTATATCTGTGTGTACTCTCACTCTATCTAACATTCACTTCTCAATTTTGTTATGGTATCACGCGTAGGTAGGATCCCCCCCCACCTACCGCTTCCGCTCACCCCTCTAGCCCCTAGCCCCGTCGCGACCCCCCCTAGCCCCGTCACGCCCCATCCTAGGCCCTGTAGCGCCCCTCCTGGGCCCCGTCGCACCCCTCACTGGGCCCCGTCGCGCCCCTCCCAGGCCCCGTCGCGCCCCTCCTAGGCCTTGTAGCGCCCCTCCTGGGCCTCGTCGCGCCCCTCCTGGGCTCCGTAGCGCCCCTCCTGGGCCCCGTCGCGCCCCTCCTGTACCCCGTAGCGCCCCTCCTGGGCCCCGTCGCGCCCTTCCTGGGCCTTGTAGCGCCCCTTCTGGGCCCCGTCGCGCCCCTCCCAGGCCCCGTCGCGCCCCTCCTGGGCTCTGTAGCGCCCCTCCTGGGCCCCGTCACGCCCCTCCTTGGCCCCGTAGCGCCCCTACTGGGCCCCGTCGCGCCCTCCCTGGGCCCTGTAGCGCCCCTCCTGGGCCCCGTCGCGCCCCTCCCAAGCCCCGTCGCATACCTCCTAGGCCCCGTAGCGCCCCTCCTGGGCCTCGTCGCGCCCCTCCTGGGCTTCGTAGCACCCCTTCTGGGCCCCATCGCGCCCCTCCTGGGCCCCTGTAGCGCCCCTCCTGGGCCCCCGTCGTGCCCCTTCTGGGCCCCGTAGCGCCCCTCCTGGGCCGCGCCGAGCCCCCCCCCCCTTCTGAGCCCCGTCACGCCTTAGGCCCCGTCGCGCTCGCCCGGCCCCGTCACCCCAGCCCGGCCCCGTCGCACCAGCCCGGCCCCGTCGCACCAGCCCGGCCCCGTCACGCCCGCCCGGCCCCGTCGCCCCTGCCCGGCCCCGTCGCAGCCGCCCGGCCCTGTCGCACCCGTCCGGCCCCGTCGCAGCCGCCCAGCCCTGGTGCGCCCCTCCTGGGCCACCGTCCTGCTCGCCCGGCCCCGTCGCACCGGCCCGGCACCGTCGCACCAGCCCGGCCCCGACGCACCTGCCCGGCCCCGTCGCACCAGCCCGGCCCCGTCGCGCCCGCCCGGCCCCGTCGCGCCCGCCCGGCCCCGTTGCACCGGCCCGGCCCCTGCGCTCGTCCCTGCCCCGGCCCCGGTCCTCCTCACTGGTACGGTTCCCCCCCCCTGCACTGCCCTGCACCGTACTGCCCCGCACTGCACCGACCCGCACCACCCTGTACTGCCTGGCACCGCACTGCACCGCCCTACACCGCACTGCACCGCACTGCATCGCACTGTACCGCACGGCACCGCACTCCACCTTGCTGCACTGCCCTGCACCGCACTGCCCTGTTCCTGATGGCGGCGGAGCTTCGCTTCGACGCTGAAGGCCAGCCTCTGGAGTTCGAGGCGTGGCTTGCCGACCTCCGTCGCCAACTCACTGGCCAGCGGCAGGATGGTGAACCGCTCTCCGCACACCTTGACGGTACGCTCCCCTGCCCATACCCCCCTGCTATTCTGTCCGCTGACTCCACACCCACTGAGTGCGAGTCCACTGCTGCCACTGCCCGTGCGCGCTCTGTCTGGCTTTCTCGCGATGCTGTCGCCCAGCTTGCCATCAGCAACGCCCTTCCCCCGCCCGAGCGCCCTCGCTTTAGGTCTCTCACCACTGCTCAGGCATACTTAGATGCTGTCATCCAGCGCTATGCCACCCCTCCGGCTGCCTCGGTGGGTCGCCTGATCCTCCCGATGCTCTTTCCTGACCTTGCATCTTTCCCCACTGTCTCTGACCTCGCTGCCCACCTGCGCTCGATAGATGAGACCTGGCGTGCAGCCTGCACAGCAGTTGTAGAATACAGTTGAATAAACGGTTATCGAGTCGCACAGCGACTCGATCATTGGTTCGGTTACCATACCACCCTTGCAGTCGCAACGGTCGGTCGCAACCTCCGGTTGCAACCCTTCGTGTCCCTCCGTCCTTACGTGTTCTTTCTTCCAACCTCCTCGTGCAACCTCCGTTGACTCGTGTACTCCAGTATAGTGTTACACTTCAGAAACGCTGAAGTTTTTGACGTGTTTCCAACAGTTCAAAATTTAGGAGGCTTGCACGAAAAGAAAATAATGTATCTGTATTTCACCAAAAAATGTTAAGCCTAGGGACTTCACGGTGGTCACTGTTTGCAATAATTACAAAGAACATCCGTGCATATTTGCTTGCAAGGATCTCTAGAGTAATGTGCAGGGAGTAATACCTTAGTGAACAGGCAGCCTTAATCTGGATTTTAACTGGAATAGTACGGTCAGTGATTCTTTCTTCACGCAATTGGGAAGTAATGGCGGTCTTCACGCTGTGGATAGGTTCCTGATATGATGTTACTGCACGATGCGCGATTTTCCGTTCAGATAGTTTCGTCAAAATTGGGAAGAGTCATTATGGAACCGCCAGAAAATCCATAATTATACGGCAACTACAAGAAACCCATGTCACATCCCCTCTATGGCTTGTGGACAATGAAGGACATGCACTGGACCTGCTTCACGTTGTCGAAGCCCAGAACGCGGATGAAGCAACCAGGGTAGGAAGCCTTGCACTCGTTGATCTCCCTGAGAACCTGGGACGCATCAGTGCAGCCGAAGAGGGGCAGCTTCCACATCGTCCAGTAGCGGCCATCATAGTAGCCGGGGCCGCTGTTGTTTTCCCTGTACACAACACCGCTGGGGTCGAACTCAATCGCGGGGATCCAGCCGTTCTGGAGCATGTAGCGGATCTCCTTGATGATATGATCGTCAGTGAGAGGGGGAAGGTAAGACAGGGTCTCGAACTTGGGGTTGCCAATGGGGTTCCACACCTGTACGAATCGAGAACGTTCGTTAGAAAACGTCGAAATGGTATGCGGACCAGAAACAAAGCCGACGCACAACGAACCTTCATGCAGGAGACGCGGCTGCCGTTGGAGACAGTCTTGGCGGCGAGCCCATTGGGACCAGCAACACCAGCCTTCAGTCCGGAGAAGGACACAGACTTGGAGGAGGCAGCAGAGGCCTCAACAGTTGCCTTGAAGGCAACTGGGGCAACAACGGCAGACGAGGTAACGGCAGCCATATCTTTCTCTGGGATGAGAAAGAATAAGAGTTGTGGGAGTGGAACTGCACAGAGGTGTTCCCTCAATGACTGGAAAAGGCCTTTCTATTCTGGATGGTGTTGGGAGGGGAAGAGCCGTTGGGGTTCGGCTTTCCTTGAGAAGCCCATGCTGATCGGTCTGTCCACTCAACCCCGGCAGCCAAGCACGTCCACCCACCTAAACTCAACCTACTGGCTTGCGTGGCAAATAGTCATCCAGCGTGGCGCGGTCTTTCGCCGCGGATAGAGGATGTGGTAGACATCCTTTGACTCCGTGGCATCCCAAGCTAGATCGGGGCGGCCCAATTATCCACCGTGGCTGTGACAGCATCCGGATCGTCGATGAGCAATTTGCGGGAGCAAGATCTGACACACACACAACACACAAGAAAATCTTCACCAGCCAATACACTCCTGAATGGGAATAAGCACCTTTGAATGCTGTTAATCCATATTATGCGAACATAACCTATGCCTAGATATTGAAAAAAAAATCCAAACATAGTTCCACTAGTTTGTAGCTTTGAATAATCGTTATAATCACAGAAACAACAATTTCGGGATTCGCATATAAATGTAACTTTCCTAAAACCCCTGCAGGGTTCAATCTGTTGAGAGACCAGCTAGGGTTGCCCTTGAGAAGATCCTCGTGGAAGGGCCACAGGTGCAGAGCCTAGGGGGTTGGGGGCGCACTAACCCGCTACGTAACACGCCCTTTTATCTCAGTGGTTAGTGACTGAGTTATGACATGATATCAGAGCGTGAGAAACTCGGGTTGAATTCCCAGCTCCAGCGATGCAGAGGCGCTCGCGTCCTCCGCCTATCCCAGCGAGAGGGGGGTGTCGAGAGACCCCCGGGGGTTGCCCTTGAGAAGATCCTCGGGGAAGGGCCATAGGTGTAGAGCTTGGGGGGTTGTGGACGCACTAACCTACTACATAACACACTTTTTTAACTCAGTGGTTATTGATTGAGTTCTTTCTGAGATCGGTGTCTTCCGCCTATCGCAGTGAGGGGGGGTGTTGAGTGACCCACTGGGGTTACCCTAGAGATCATCACAAAGGCTACTGCTGTCAACTAACAATATATATATATGTCCTAGTTAATCTATATTTATTAGTATATCCTAGTTAGGTTAGCTCTTAGAGGGGACAACTATTTGTACTTGTATCTCCCCTCCTTTCTTCCTAGTCACAATTTTCTCTCGCTATTCTTACATGGTAAAGAGATATGTTAGGTTTTCCGCATCTCATGTTTCCGCCCGCAATGTATCAAACATTTTTTCCCTGCACCTCGCGCTCTCCGATTTTGCGCTTCGTAGGAACACCCCCCTCCCCCCTCCAGTGTTTGCTCGTTCCGTAAGCTAGCCAGCCGGCCAGCGCGCTAGCTAGCTACCTCGATCGCCCACCAACTAGCACGCCAGAAAACTGGCCAGCTCACCAGCACCTGCTGCTCCAGCTTGCCCGCCCGCCCTCAGCCCGCCATTTCGCGCTCCTAGCTTGCCGCCATTGCCGCAGCCACTACTGCCCGCTGTCGCTTACTGCCTCCCACTATCGCTTCAGCCGCCACTACCACGGCAACTGCTGCAGCCCCTTCCACCGCTTCCCTTGCAGCAACCGTTGCAGCCGTTGCCCTTACAGCCGCCACTTCGCCGCTACCCTTGCAATTGCCGCTGCAGCTGCTGCCTTTGCAGCCGCCCCTTCCGCCGCTGCCCTTGCAGCTGCCGCTGCAGCTGCTGTCCTTGCAGCCACCATTTCCGCCGCTGCAGCTGCTGCCCTTGCAGCTGCCACTTCCGCCACTGCCCTTGCAGCTGCCGCTGCAGCTGCTACCCTTGCAGCCACCACTTCCGCCGCTGCCCTTGCAGATGCCGCTGCTGCTGCTGCCCTTGCAGCCGCCACTTCCGCCACTGCCTTTGCAGGTGCCGCTGCTGCCGTTTCCCTTATAGCCGCTACTACCGCGCTAAACTTGCAGCTGCTGCTGTTGCCGTTGCCCTTGCAGCCGCCGCTGCTCTTGCCGCTGCTGCTGCCCCTGCTGCCCCTTGCAGCCGCCGCTGCCACCGCTGCCCTTGTAGCTGCTGCTGCCGCTACTACCCTTCCAGCTGCTGCTGCCGCCGCTGCCCTTGCAGCTGCTCAAGAAAGAGATTGTGGTACCCCACGTGATCAACGCCAGGAAAGACCCGATCGCGATGACTACACGCTGAAAACGCTGTGGTTCAACAACCCTGGATCGGCGCTGGGGTCCCCATTCCATTTCAACAACTCCTCGCCAATGCTAACAACGCCAAGCTGTGTCATTTTTTTTCCGGTAACTCGCACCTCACGGCTACGGCGATCAACGCTTTCACGATCTCTTGGTCTGCAGAACACGGCTTTGCCTTCCCCCCACCTCAATTGATCCCCGCCGTCCTCCACCATGTGCAACGTACGCACGCGTCTCTCATCCTGGTACTTTCCCACTGGCCCGGCGCCAACTGGTGGCCACTCCTCCAACCCTCACCGCCAGTCTGGGCTAGCCCCATCAAAGCTCACATCCGACTCACGCACGGCAGCTAATGCTTAGCACCAGGCATACACACTTGTGCCTTCTCCGGCTCTGGTCTACCTGATAGCCTCGTGCTCGCCCTGCAAGTCGCGTTTCCCTAATGTCTGCCTCCCCGCCTGTATCGCTACCAGATCTAATTCCAACCCTGCAACGCGAGCTGCTCTCGGTCATGGCACAGACGTGCGCAGACTTCACAATTCGAACTCACGAACCTTACTGGCAGCAGTTTTGTTCCTTCTACATCAGGATCAACCTTCCCTTCCTGCCAACCGCGGACATGACAATCACCTTATACAGTACCTTGTCTATGCAATTCGAAACAAGGCCACTCTCTCAGTAATACAACTCACATGCTCGGCCGTCAGCTTCGCTCACCACATGATTGGGGCATACTGCCCCAGCACTGGCCCCTTCATGTCACAAGTTCGAGAATTCGCCAAGCGACAGTGTCCCTGGCCTAATTGGACCAAGTGCATGAGATGGCTACTCATCTCATCAGTGCTAACAACGCGGCCACCTTCCAGAAAGGTCTTATTGAAGGCCCATTTTATCAGAGTAATTTCGTCTGTTTTTCTGAAAATCAAAGTCATTTTTGAAAACTACTCTAAGGGCCCTGAGCAATTTTTTTTTTTTTTTTTTAACCTTTTATATGAGTAAACTTTCGTACCACTCTGATGGTCAGTATATAGGGAGGATATGTTAAATTAAATATTTTGTTACATAATTAGTAGGCTTGGTAGGTTTTATCGAACTCTACTATAGAGGGTACAACTCCCTCCTTGTATGCCTCTCTCTCTTCTAGTTCATCCTCTTTTCTCTCGTCAACTTTCCCTCCTAGTTCCTAGCTCCTAAACCCTCACGCCATTCCATGGCTTCCTTCCTTTCCTCCTAGACTAGTCTTCCAACATGGTTTCAGAGCAGGCCCTTTTTTCTCGGGCCTTCTCCTCACGCTTCCGCAGCGTACTCCCCCCCCCGTCACGCCGCGCTGACCCCGTCATGCCGCGCTGGCCCCGTCACTCCGCGCTGGCCCTGTCACGCCGCGCCGGCCCCGTCACGCCGCGCCGGCCCCGTCACGCCGCGCCGGCCCCGTCACGCCGCGCCGCCCCCGTTCCTCTGCACTGGCCTTGTCACGCCGCGCTGGCCCCGTCACCCCGCTCTGGCCCCGTCACGCCGTGCTGGCCCCGTCCCTTGGCGCCGGCCCCGTCACGTTGCCGTGCCTCAGTGCCACCGTGCCGCCGTCGACGCGTCAGTGCACGGGCGGCAGTGGATCGCGCACTGGTTTGGGCACCAGGCAACAAGCCCGCACTCCAGCTCACCGCGCCTCCCCAGCTCGTCGTGTCGGACCCTGCTCGCCGTGTCGGACCCAACTCGCCGCATCAGTCCCTGCTCGCAGCGTCGGTCCCAGCTCGCCACGCCAGCTGGCTCCGCCCCGCCGCAGCTCAAGAAGGCCTAGCACCTTCCTTCCCTGCAGTCACATCTGCTGCAGGGTATGGGGGTGCTAGGCTTAGAGGTGTTGCATGTGCGGTGGACTTGTGACTACCAAGCCTAGGGGGTGTGTTAAATTATATATTTTGTTATATAATTAGTAGGCTTGGTAGGTTTTATCGAACTCTACTGTAGAGGGTACAACTCCCTCCTTGTATGGCTCTCTCTCTTCTAGTTCATCCTCTTTTCTCTCGTCAACATTCCCTCCTAGTTCCTAGCTCCTAAACCCTCATGCCATTCCATGGCTTCCTTCCTTTCCTCCTAGCCTAGTCTTCTAATAGGATACCTGTGAAATTGTCCCCACCCCCTGTACCTAGCCGTGCCCCCGTGTCCCACAGAACAGGTCATGTCACGCGCACCAGCGAAATCATCGAGTGGCCAGTACTCGAGGCTATGTGAGGGGGCTAATTGTCCCTTCACCAAAATCACTGCGCCATTTGTGCTCGAAGGCTTGTGAGGGTGTTGAGTGGCCCTTCACCAAATCTGTGGCTTGGGCGAAATGCATTGTTGGTTGTGTGAGGGCGTTTTGGGCCCTTCACCAGATTTAGGGCCAACACGTGTTCGCAGGAGGAGGGGAGTGCAAGATTCCCCTTCTCCGCCCCTGCTGTGTCGACCTCCCCTGCCACCTCGATTCCCTCCGCCCCTGCAATCTCTAAGTCCCTCCCCTTCGTTCCCCCCCCCCATCTCCCCATTCTGCCCCACATGTACAAATGGCCCTGCTGCAGAGAGTTACTTTAAAAAACCCTGTGCATTATCAGTGTATATATTTTTTTAAATAAAAAAAACCCTAGAAAATCAAAGAAACCATTGGGCAGCACTCTGATTTTCAGAGTAGTGAAAAAAGCTACTCCCTGATTCCAGAATAATAATAATCCAAAAGTAGGCCCTGGTCTTTTTCCCCTTCTCATGTACGCCGGATTTTTGCGTTACTCTGAGCTCGTGGCCACCAACTGGGAGGATATCCAGTTTGAGGATGACATAATGTGGCTGCTCATCTCGCACTCCAAAACGGACCAGGCAGGTTAGGGCTCATGCGTTCTAGTTGCTACCGTCCCAGGACCCCTCTATCGAAC